TCGTAATTAACTTGGAGAAAAAAGGAAAGAGATAAAAAAGATGGAGAGGAAAGAGAGATAGTGGAAAAAATTGGGAAGAGTCGCGTGCAATAAACGAGGCAGAGGGACGAAATTAAAGCTCGCCCGGCGATGTGTTGAAGAAGAAGCGAATAAAAAAAGGAAGAGAAAAAAAGAGAGCAAGACAAAAAACCTGTGTTTCACCCTGTGCGGCTAAATATCCGAGAGAACCCGAGAGAACGAAGTAACGTATAAAAAGAGGAGGGAAAAAAAGAAGCAAAGTAACGCCTGGACACTCGGTTTCTACGACAAACAATGGTCAGAAGAAGCGAGAGTCGAGGGTTGGTTTTTGCCATGCCAAGTCGAGCAGTCATGCGGGTCGCTGCTGCCGCTGCTGCTGTTACTGCTGCTATACCACTGCGCCGAGCTAATCAGTGCTCACACGGCAAAATTTCACCACCGCGCATATTAATGTCTTTCCTATAATACGGACATAACAGTTTTGGTCACGTTCGATTTATTTAATCGGAACAATCGATCATCGCATCGCGCAGGTAAATATAACGCAGCGAACAATTCGTTGCCCCATAGGTCCGCTGCGCGCCGTTGTTGACATGCTTTTAGCAGTTCATTATTATTCACTCTGACTTTCGGAGAAACAGTGATACTGCGCGCGTCAATTTGGCCCGCTCGTGCGCCCGAGCTTTGAAGTTAATTCAATGTAGTTCCGAAGGAAGGGAAACACAGAGCGAGCGAGAGCTTTTTTGCCATTTAAAATTTCGCAATTAAATAATCAACTGCGTGGAGCGCGCAGCTTATTTTGATAATGCCATGCGCACGATGATTTAAATGTATACTTTTCAAAGTACCTAGAGTGGAGGGGCGACGGCGTTTCTCTATATAATACTCGGCTGCTGTGCGCGCGCGACAGTCGATGACAGTATTTTTTTCATTCCGTATTCGCAGCCGAGCCGGGGGAGAGTACTACTCGTCACACTTGGCGCATAAAATTATATTCTCGACTCGTGCCCCCGCTCGCTGCGTGCCGTGTATATATCTATATACAATATATACAGACGCAAAGCTCTCGTTTTTTTCGAGATAAAGAGAGAGAGAGAGCGAGAAAGTTCCTTTACTCTCTTTTCTCCCTGACAGTCAAGAGGCTAACTAACCTGCAAGACGCGCGCACTACCTACCTAGCGCATGGCTGCTCGCTTTTTTTCCCTTCTCTCTCTTTCGCTTTCTTTCTTTCTTTTCTTTTCTTTCTTTTCTCCCTTGTAAAACCGTCTCTCTGCTATAACATACTGCGAGCAGCTTTCGTAAATAAAAATGTAAGTATACGTGAGTTTTTTAGCTGAGAAACTTGTAAATTAGGCTGTGCACTTTCGCCGCCACCGCCGACGCTCTCGGGCGCGGAAAAGTAGAATAAGGTATGGGGGTGGGTGAGCGCGCGAAAATATGTAGGTTATATACGTATACGCGTATATATCTATACGCACGCACCACTTACATAACTGAACTTACGATTGCGACAATTTGTCTACATTACGCGTCAGGCTGATTTCAGCACGATTCGTTGGGTTTCTCGCTCGTACACTTTCCTTTCTCGGCGATCGCCTACGCTCGAGCTTCGCGTTTAAACAAAGAATCCTTATCGCTAACTCGATATGTGCTACTTTCTCAAAGAGCTCTCTCTCTCTCTCTCTCTCTCTCTCGTGACTTTTAAAAGCAAAGCTGGAAGAAAAAATGCTCTCCTTTGACATTAAGTTCACTTCGCAGCTTAGCTGAAAAGCTCAAAATTACTGAAAAGTGAAAAAAGAAGGAGAAGAACAAGAATAAAGAGCGAAGAAAGCAACGATGGTAAAGAGAGTCTAAGGTGATGAACGCCAAAGTTTGTCGATGCTTTGCTACCTTTCTCCTTCTCTCTCTTTCGCTCTCTCGCTCTCTCGCGCGCACGCGGTTGTGTATACGTGTGAGCTTTCCACGAAACCTTTGAAACTTTAGCGTCAAGATTTTTTGTTCTTCTTTTCTTTTCCCCAGGTGTACGGCAGACTAACAGCGGCAGCAACAGCAGCAGCAGTGGTGGCGGCGGCAGCGATACACGTACAAGCTCGTAGTATAGCCTGCTTTTCACGAAAGTTCAAAGAGCACGTGCATGGCGAGGCCAACGGAAAGAAAGAGACCCGATGTATACGGCCTCGCACAGTCTCTGTAGCCGTATAACTATGTGTAAACCCCCTTATAGCCCACGTTCGGCTCTCATTTTTAACGCGAGCATGGATTTAGGTCTACGACACATTTTATAAAGTACACAACACAGCCTCTGCTCTCGCTGTACGTGCGTCAGTGTGTGCGTGTGTTTGTGTACGCGTGCGTGTGCGCAATGCACCTCTAATAATAGATTTTACACGCCCCCGCGAGGTTTTTGCGAGCGTAAAATATGCAAGTTCATGCAGTCGACATAACGACGCCAGGCTAGGGAGAAAAAAAATCACAGAGAGAGAGAGAGAGACGCACACGCACACGCGCGCGCACGAGCGAAACACAAGCGTTCATGAGAATAAATTTTGACCGTAGGGCAAAAATAAAATTGACGTTCGTTTCGGTTTGCGCGCAGATGGATTTTGCAACATCTGCCCGCTGCACAGCGCGCCGCTGCTTCGCGCTAAAATACGTCGGGAATTCGTCGAGATTTTCGCTGAATTTTCCCAGCGCGCTCTTTTTATTTTTCGACTCACAGAGCATAGTTAAAAACTTTCGACACGCTTGCGCGAATCGAATCCATGTGAGAGCAGTGCGAGCGAATTCAGTAGATTTTATCATTCCAATTAAATAATCAGGTCAAATGAAGGATTTATCATAATATAAAATAATGTTCATGCAAACGAGGCCGAAAACTAAATTCATATTGATTTGCATTTGCGATACAACGCAAAGAACATTATTTACTTTATGCGTTTCGTTTTATGTTTACGAGCGAAACAGATGCATTACAAGTAATATTTATACGGTAAATCATACGTTTTGAGATTACCTTTGAGTGGAAAAAAATAAACCATTTCTTTCAGTTTATTTGTTTGGTAGAAATTTTAAAAGCAACTTCTCTTATTTCCTATATTTTTAGATTCCAAATTGTACGCGTTATAAAAAAGGAATAAAATAATCGCCTACAAGATGAATCGCTCACATTAATGTGGAGCACACTCGTCGTCGACGTCGCTCATAAAACGTCAATTATACATACTTGTCGAGAGACTGACAATGAGTCAAAACGAAGCTATAGCGCAATGCACAACTCTTCGTGTATGGTATTCGTCAGTGCAAAAAAAAAAAAATAGAAGGGGGCGAGAGTCTTTCTGCTGTGCCTTCATAAAGAGGAATAGAGAGAGAAAGTGTCAAACGTCGCACAATACGTATATACTCGCGTCGAACTTGAAAAAAAAAGAAAGAGAGAGAAAGAGTGGAGTAAAAAAAACTTTCATACGCGCGAGGGCGCGCACAAGTCATAAGGCCACTGTTCCATTCTCATTTCCACGTGAACTTCGCATCAATTTTGCGTTTCCCTTTGACGCCGAATATGGGAGCTAGAGACTGCGCGAAAGAGAGAGAGAAAGAGGGAGAAAAAAGGAACCTCGAGAATTTCACGGAGGCCTTTTCTTTTGGGCTATTGTCATCAAACGCTCTGTGGTCTGTTCATATATACCTGTGCCTATATACCATTTGACGTACAGTCGAAAATTGATCTCACTACGAGGTATATACGTTTGTTGATCCTCTTGCGGAGGATCTTACGCTTCGATGAAGCGCCACTATATAACGTCGAATGGGATAATATCGCGCGCGTTTGTACTCGCTGAATTAAATACACGGAATTTTTCACGCGTATTATTATTTAATATTTTTACGCATTCGTACAAAAACGCCTTGACAGCTGTAGGCAGACATACGATCAACTCCAATTATAAAATCGAAAGTGTCATTCGGTCAATTGGCCATCGATAAAAATAAATTTATTACGTTCGAGTGAGCAAAAAAAAAACTTTTCTTTCTTGCCCGGTTGAATTTTTACGTCATAAGTCGAGAGTGGTCGTAAATTAACCGAGGCCGTGAATATCAACGGGTCGGACTCTCTTTCTCTCTTTCGCGCACTCTCTCACTCGCTCGCAAAAGTGGCAAGATAAATATTGAACGAAAGCGACTGACTCCAATCAATGGAGAATTATGACTAAGACCAAAGGCAAGCTTGAGCTGTAGTAGCGGTTCTCGCGGTGAATAACGCGCGCGAGGAAGTATGCGAATTCCCGACGTCGCGCTTAATAGCCTGCCCGACACGGCTTTCAATTCGATAATAACGATTTTGACGCGTCCCGAGAATAATTGGCATATCGGTATCAATCAAAATATTTAACTCGTTGGCCAAAGACGAGGTTCTCTTGCGTTTGCTGAAAACTTTTTTTTTTTTTTTTTTGTTGAAATAACGACGAAACGAGACCCCGCGACACTGAATCATCGAGCGGCCGTTTGTTATACGATTGCAGCAACATCGGCCGCAACAGCGAAGAAAAACATTCGACTATACGTCTCAGGAAACTTAAGACCCCTTACTTAACGCACTCGGGCCGATCGCTTCGACAACTGTCCGCACGGGCATGTTTCTCTCTTTCGCGCGTCTATATATGTAAGTTTAATGACGCATCGCGTGCGTGTGTGCGTGCATATAAACGCGCGCGGGGAAGTCTTGAATGGAGCCCATTGTGTGCGCGTTTGCGATGCTTTACACATTGCACACTCTCTGCGCCGTAGTATTGCATCTCTCTCTCTCTCTCTCTTGGGCGCTCGCGCGCGCAAAGGGGAGCGTACATAATCGCGAGTACATAGAGCATCGCCGCATATATTCTCGAGTCTCAATAGACATTTATATACCGTGCATGCTATGTATATAGTTATATATAGAGCAAGCGAGAGAGATGCACAAAGTACAATAATATAGTGGATGTACTTACGCGTGGCTGCAGATGTTTCGAGGAGCAAAGCTGCGATCGCCAGCAGCAGCAGCATCAGTAGTCCGCTCCAGCGCGAGACTCTATTACTCGATCCGCTTGGCATGTTGTCGTCTCTCTCTCTCTCTCGCTCGCTTGTGTACGTCGTTTTCTGCACTGTGCGTATATACTACAGACGATCTGCTGTTGTGCGCGCTTTGAAGTGAGAGAGCACGTATAAGATCACATTTCGCACTCGAGCACTATAAATGCGTTTTTTGCGACACAAACATATTACTACCTTGTATTTATTTTCTCGATTTTTTTCTCTCTCCCTGCTTTCGTCGATCGTCTCGCTTAGTATATTTATATACGCTATTTATATTGTATCTCGCGCACTGCAGCCAGATAAATATAATCTCGTGAACTTGGCCTGCTCGCTTGTGCACGAAAAGCAAGAAAAATCACGTCTCTGCCGTATCAGTGTACACTTATTTACCTATTGAATTATTTTCACATATTATTAACGTTATACTCGACCACGCTGCACCGCTGCACTTTCAAATTTCTATATTTCTGTCTGTGTGCGTCTAATTATGCCGGCAGTCGGGTTGCTTCCGCGCCCTTTTTATCGCGGTCTTATCTGCCGCGGTAAGAAGTTCTTTCCGGTACGAGGAGTAGTAACAGCAGCAGGAGCAACAAAAAAGTATTCACGCATTGACGGCGGCGCGTAGCGGGCGAGTTATTTTTGATGGAAACTTTCAACATTTATATACGAATAGGAAGTCGAGCTATTCCTCGCCGGCCGTTCGCGGCGGTGGAGATAAAACGCTACGCTGCGCCAAGTGCACGTCGTCGGCGGCTGCTCCGAGCGCATAACATATATCTATAGGGAACTTTCGTCGAGTATCAAAAACTCGCTTCGCCGGTTTCTCGCGCGGCTGAAGGAGGGATCGATGATAAAACTACGCGGACGTTATAAAATAATCGTTTTTTCACCCCCCACCCCCTTTTCCCTTTTCGCGGCCGAGACGCGGGAGAAAAAACGAACTAGAGGAAGACCCTCAGCTAGACGCGAGCAAGTCTTCGCCTTATCTTTTTCTTCTCTCTCGCTCTTTTTTTACCCTAGTGCGCGCGCTCTCTCTCTCGCGCGCACGTTCTGGACGTGTTAAATTCCCATAATTTCCGGTGCTAAAGCAGCAGCAGTAACAGTAACGTCGCGCCCACCTACCCCCGCGCAGCTCCCTGGGAAGGAGCTCTGCACGAGATAACAAGTAAGATAGAGTACGCGGAAGCTGCGAGCGTATATGCCTCGCGCCGAGACTGCGTCGGGGCCGATGGCCCGTGGCAGCCATCGGACGCACGCACACACACAGACACAGACATGGACAGCAGTATGCGAGTTTATTCGCGCCAGTAAAGTCCTGAAATTTGTACGTACAAGTGCGAAATCGATCTTTCGTTTGTAGGTGTGAATGCCCAACGCGTTTACTCGCCCATATGTACGCGAGTGTCTGTGTGTGTGTGTGTGTGTATACTTGGCTCACGCGAGAAGCTCTCAAGTCACACATGGAGTGATCTTCGACTATCTCACGGACAATTAAAAGTTCCGCTGACTTAAGAGCCCCGGCGCTTTTTTATATATAACTGCCTAGCCGACGCGCGAGAGGGACTTTTGCCTTGGCTTACACTTCATCCATCCCTATCTTCTCTCGCCCTCTCCTCTCTACTACTTCTTCTTTTCATTTTATCTTGCTTTACTCTTTTTGTCCAACGGCAAACTTATACTTTCGGCCAGAGAGAGAGAGAGAGAGAGAGAGAGAGAGAGAGCGAGAGAAAAGAGAGCGCGAGCAGTTAAGTGATTCGAGTTTTGTTTCAGTGCGCTCGTTTATCTGCTTGCTTTGCGGTCGACGGGGAGGGAAAAAAAAGAAACGGAGCAAAAGAGACAGCCCGGCTGAAAGAAATAAAGGAAGCTATTAATGCATAATTTTCTGTCGCAGAGCGAGATATATAATGCGTGTCGTACGCCACGAGAATGATTTTTACATTTTTAGTGAAGTAGAAAAAAACAAACAAACAAAATGAGTAAAGGAAAGCAAATGAAAATCCAACGCAGCAGGTGGGCACGTGTGTAGTGCACGCGCGTGGCTGCGTTGTATATATATAACACCGAGCATTTCTCTTGGCGGTTGCACAGGCTAAGTTGCTGCCGTTGTATATAATATACACACACACACATACAGCTGCAAGGCCGCGTGTAGAACATAAATCATTCACGAGAATTTCGCGAGGAGCTCGCCTAGACTGTACGCACATACACACATACACATAGAGCTATATAGTTTCGCACTACGGGGTGGACTTTTAATTTAATGAATTACACTTGGTATTTATGCTTGCGCCGTATATACGTATGCGAGTGTGCATTGGATCGCGGTAGATAGCAAGTTTGCGACTTGTGCGTGTATAAGTGTTCACGTGTATAGCTGTATATGTACGAGCGCGCAGACACACACACAAACTCGTCGCAAATTAATGGCCCTAGAGACGACCGAGCGGAAAAAGAGCGAGCGTAACTCGCGCGGGCGAAAAAGAGAAACAAAAAAACGCGCGAGAGCGAGCGCGCAGAAGAGCAACCGACTCAGAGAGAAAAAGAGAGAGAGAGAGGAGAACCGGCACACGATTGGAAACACGCTATTCGTTATCGCGCTTAAATAATTTGTCTAGAAAACTTTTGTGCAGCTCCCGCAGCTTGAAGTAGGCACTCGACGAGTTTTAAGCGGTTCGCGGTAATTGCGATTGTCCTGTTACAATTGCGATTTTTACCTTTTTGTCTCGGCAATTCGAGAGTCTATCGCATCTACAACGAGTGTTGATTTTTCTTTATTAATTGTCGTGCATAGCAATCGATGACTGATTCACTTCCGAAGATGTATATTGGTGAAAGATTTTAAAGTTTGATGATAAATTGATATTGAAAAGCAATTAGCCGTTCAAAACGTACGAAACAGTCCGTCAAACGTCAGTGGACAACAACATTACTCCGAAACGTTCGAAACGAATGCCCAGCATCCACGAGCGAGTTTGTTTACGTTAACGCACGACGACTCCGAAAAGCCAGTTTCGGTTCCAAGATATTTCAGCGACTCCAATGTGTTTACGAATTCACGCATGAGTTGACGGTTTTTTTCACTGCCGGCACAGTACTCTACACACAGAGTGACAAAAACAGCAATTTTAAAATCTATCATATCTCCGCGTGCGAGATTTTTTCATTCGAACGTTTGCGTTCGAATTTCTTGTTGCTAGATCTTTTTGAGTCTTGTTTTGAGTAGAGTTGGTTGCGTGTGCGCGCTCGATATTAAACGTCAGTGCAGCGAACCTCGTGTACAAGGTATATAATCGCCGAGCAGCATCACGTGCTGTCGCATACGTAATACATAACGACACGTCGGAGCTGAGCAGCGCAGAGTCAAAACCACCATAACACGGCGCAACGGCAGAACGAAATCTTTGGCTCACACATATATAGAAAATGAATAGTTGCAGCGATGCACTGCGAATGTGTAATAACATAATAACATTAACAATATGTGATCGTTGTTAAGGCCTACCTATATCGTAATATATGATCTACAACGAAGTCACGCGCGTAAAGCGTCACTCTCGGAACACAATGATTTGCACGCACATAATTTCATTCAACGATTCGGCTGCGATTTTCAATTCGATGGCAGCGACGAACATGGATCACGTGGGCGAATTTCGATATACATTCGTATACGAGCGCAGTTATTATTGAAAGTAAATAATAAAGCAGAGGCGTCGGTGCATGCGACAGGCCGTGTGTCGCGGCGAGAGCGGCGAGGCTCTCCTCACGCACGCGGCTCCCGATCGAGTACTGACTGGACTCGGCTGGCACGGGCGCGAGAGCAGTATACAGAAACAGCCTGCCCGACGGTGCAAAGCAGAACTGCAGAGTGCGAGTGAGTAGCGCGAGTGCTGTGGCAGACGATGCCACGAGAGCCATGCAGCAGCAGCAGCAGCGCAGCAGCTGCGCTAAAGGGGAGTTGGCTGGCATGGCTGCTGGATGCGAAGAGTGAGAGAGAGAGAGATAGAGAGAGGAGCGCGCGGCACACTAGCGCCGCGCCACCCCGAGCGACCCGACTGAACTACTGCTGCTACCCCTTCGTATATTCTCAGCCTCTCCTCGCGCGCTTTTTACATAATATGCATTCGCCCCGCGCGCGCTTATATGGATGGAGGCAAGAAAAAGAAGAGGCGCGCGAGCGCGAGATTCCGAGATCTTTTGGAGGAAAAAAAAACACATCGTATATATAACGGCTGAGAAACTGCGATAGCCTCAGGGCCTTTTTTCCTTTGCGCTCTGCGGCGCCTCGTTGCACCGCTATACTCGTATATTATTATAATATATATAATACGAACTCAAACTTATACGCTCTGGCGCGTTTGCATCGTGCGACTTGACGTTATTAACGAGAACCGCACGAGCTCCGAGTGTGTGCGAGTGTGCATGCGTGTGCGTGTGCTTTACGGCTGGAGCATGTGCACCTGCAGCAGCAGCATTCACATCTGCATGTATGATAGGCTCTATGCGCGTGGCACGACGACGTTCACTCGGCACATACCGGCGAATATATGTGTATGTTCTTTGATTATGTCCCTTTACTAGGTCTAGCTCTCGCAATGTCTCTCCGCGCGTATCTCTCGCGCGCGATAGTGTCAGCTTCGGAGTACGGCCGTAAATAGATATGCCTCGCGCGCGAGGATCACGTGCGCAACATAATTGATCCCTTTGATTTGCGCATATTATATCCGCGCGAGTCGTGCCGAGAAATTCAATTCCTGCGCCGAGACTCATAGGATGCAGCAGAAGCAGTGGCTTGATTGACCGCCTGTGTGGGCCTATTTACGGTATAGATAATGCGCCACAATTCACGTAGCCAAATACTTGGAGATTGATTGCTTCGAAGCTCGTCTTGACAAATTCGTTGCTCATAGTTTTCCTCAACATAAAGCTCGGCATAATATCAGCTTCCTCTTCTTCTTTTCTTTCTGCTCGCCCAAAATCACGAGAATCTCGAGCGCTGCACGGGTACATTTAGTTCGCCCCATTGACGTTACACAGCATCGTCTGCCTCCTCGTCAACCCTCTTCTCGTCTATATATACATCTTATATGCTATACATAAATTCGTTGTAGCGGCTTACGAGCATTCCAGGATCTAAATTCGACGTCGTAAGTCGTAAGTCGTACAGCGCACGCGAGGAAATATTCTGCGCTTTCATCGACGCGCTCATGGCACACGCACGCCGTGCTCGAATGAATTTACGATGCCGCTCGCGAAACAGAGCTCAGACGATCTTCCTCCTCTATACACCTCTTGCCATACCTCCCGTACCACCTCCTTCGGTCTCCCGTCTTTTGCTATCGCTCGCTCGCTCTTTAAACTCCGCAAAATTTTACAGCATCGTCGCAAGCTCGCGCGACTATGGCCTAGCTCTCTGCAAGCGCTGCAAGCTCGACGTATGGCCCTGCGCGCCGCTATTTTATGGTTATTTTAATACACAGCGTCGTATATGCTCCGCGCTGTATTGCAGCGTATCGGGCGAAAGGGCATGCCGCCAGGCCGGGTGGCAAAGATTTTGCCGGGCGCAGAGCTTTTGTGGCTCTGCAGTGCAGCAGCCTCCGAGAGTGGCGGTCTGTATATATACACGTACCTATACACTCGAGCGCTGCTTGTATGTAATACATTATGCAACGCAAGATGTGTCTTCTTCTTCTTCTGCGCCGTCGTCGTCGTAAAGTATGAGCTTGAAACGCAGCTCGACGAGCATATCCGAAGACGTTAAATATTAATTCGTCGTCGTTCCTCGTCGACGCTATAAGGCGTAGTCAACTTAAGCTTATATCCCTCGGCTGTGAAACACCCCTCCTTTCTCCTCCCCCTCGCTCTGCCTCCCTCCACGTCATCTCGCCGACGAGCGCTCCGCGTATATTATATACAAGCACACGTGGTGCGTACCGCCGATTTACCAACGTCTTGATTGTAGAGATTTTTTCGCCGATCCCTCGACGCAAGCACAACGACGCCAAAAATTGCGGTTTCCCGTCTTCTCCTTTATTTTTAAGGAAAAATTAACCATTACTTTTTGAAGCGCGAGCCATTTTTCCTCCTACATGCGAGCTTATGAAAATAATAACCGTCCGTAATACGAGCCGAAAAATGTGCGCTTTTTGAAGTTTTATAAATTTTAGCACGCGAAAGCTCGATTTTATACTGCGCCTCGTAAAAATGACAATAGATCTGAACGTGTGTACGTATGAGTGTGTGTACGTGGGTGAGCCTGTGTATATTGAAGATCAGCAAAAATGAAAAAGAGAGATGAAGCTGTAACGCTCGTAGAGCAATGTGTAATATATACGCGTTCTTGCTTTTTAGCTTTTTCCGTCAAAGTAAAAAGAAAAGATATATCTATCCATAAAGATGGGAGTGAGCGGACAATATGCTGAAACTCAAACTTGTTTTTATTCCTCCTGATGTGCAAAATCAAAGTCCACATCGCACACACAAATACAGAGAGAGAGAGAGAGAGAGAGAGAGAGAGAGAGAGAGACCCCTGCCGCCTTTTAAACACGTATAAAGAACTTTTCCTTTAACATCGATCGTCGTAGCCCGAAGGGAGCTTGCAAGAGGAAGAGAGAAAGAGAGAGAGAAAGAGAGAAAGAGAGAGAGAGAGAGAGAGAGAGATAGGAAAAAAGTTGGCTAACGCGCCAACGGTGTCGGAGCTACTATAGCCGAGCTGAGTTTCCTTTAGCCCAAGCCGTGCTCGCTCGCTTCTTCTTCTTCTTTCGTTTTACGACGACGATATAAACAAGCTTTCTCCGTTGCTTACGAGGCAAGCCTTGCTTGCGAATCTGTATGCTTTTGCCCGCTCGCGCCCTTTGTCGCGATTGTGATACAGAGAAAAAGAGGGACAGAGAGAGAAAGCAAAAATTCCCGCGTGATGTTGCACATATTATACGCCGAAGTCGACGACGACGACGACGACTACGACGATTGAGGCGGAAGGAACAGGGTGTGAGAGAAAGAAGCTAAATCTCAAGATAGAAACTGTATTGGACTTGGATTACCCATCTGACGCCTGACTGAACGAACGTACGAAGCTGTTTTTGCTATAGTCGCGACCTCCTCACGAGCTGCAACAGCGCCAAATCTCGATCCTAAGTCAAAATTTAAAGGCTGCCAATCTTTTGGCTGCATTTCATGTATATGAGCAATTCCACAATTTATCACTTAATTTACGCATTTTAATCTGAACATTACAGAAACATATACAGAGACTCATTTTTATCACAAAAACTCTTCTTTTTATGTATATTTTATTTGAATATAATTTTTACGAATCGTATTTTTTTATTGTTTTCGTGTCAAAAAGTCGAGTAGAGAATGAAGACAGTAGTTGCAGTGATCTGAAACAGTCTCAATTGTCAAATATGATGTCTGTCATAACGCAGGAACACAAAATAAAAGAAGTTAGGCCAATTGACCAGATCAAGTAGACTTTAGGTTTTCGGAGTTGTGATCCGAATTTGACGTCAGTTTTTCTAGATTAGCACATTTTCATGATCTATTTGAAGATCAGAAAATATGTTTTTTACGTAAAAACGAATGTAACAAACATATCTATTAAAATGTTGACGCATTTTCTAAATTGCAGAACCTTCAAGAAAAACATCCAATGTTCTATACGAGCGTTAAATTCAAAAAAATTGTCAAGTAAATGATAGAGTTGCTCTTTAACATCGATATTGTTGACAGCCATCGTCGACACACGAATACGGAGTTTGTTTTAAATCTATTAGAGAATATTATTATAATTTTCCAGTCGTAAGTTGAAAATGAGACGAAAACGATCATATACACCTGCGCATAGGGGAAAAAGATACGAACGCATCGATACATATATTATGTGGGTTATAAATGTCAAACGGGCTAGCCTAAAGTGGTGTAAATGGACCTTGCGTAAAATATAAACGTGCGAGTTAGTCGCGAAAGTGAAAAAGCGACAAAGTTTGTCGCGATTATTAACATCCTGGCGAGCTGAGCTCATCATATTATGCATGTATATACGGGTTCATTTAGCGAACACGAATTCAGGCTTGTAAATTTTCAACCCTTGTAAAAACTATAAAGAGAACATCTTTCTCTGCGCGTATAGCTGCACAATACGTAGTGCGCGTCCACACAGACTACACGTACAGAGACAAAGCGCATATAACACGCGTGTAGCACGCGGGCGACTCCTTATTGCGGCTAATATTTCTTCAGTTGTACGCGCGGAAAACTAAAATTGAGTACTTTATAAAAAAGGAAAGAACCAGATAGAATGGAGCAAAAGAGCAAAAGAGCCAACGTGAGAGAGAGAGAGAGAGAAAGAGAGCGTTTTAATAAATCAGCCCGGTCAATGCGCCACGCTGTAACTGCTGCCGCTGCTGCTGCGACTGTGCACTACTTACACTGCCGAGGCACGGAGCGCGTGCACAAGCCAAGATATGGCTCCATTATATGACCCTAGGATTTTTTAAGTTATGAGGGATTCTCACAAACTACCGTGCAATATTTATATATATATAGAGAGAGACAGAAAGAAAACGCGAAGGAGAGAAAGAAAAGAGCAAAGTTCTACACGCGTGGAACACGCAATTTGTATTAATGCGCCCTTTGATTTCTCGGCTCGCACTACTAGACAACGGCTGCGTTGTCATTCTGAATAATTTTATTTCCTCGGGAGTTCATCTTGGACGTATATAAGTATCGTGGAACGCGAAAACAATAAC